GAAAGGCATTGAGAAGTGGTCGCGCTATGTCATGAATTTACAAAAGTAAAAATTCATGGACTGGCCATTGGATCAGTCGGGCCCCAGTGGCTCAATGGTCTACGAGCTAACTAGCCTTGTAACCAGAAGGTCCTGGGTTAGACTCCTGTGGTGGGTGCATACTTTCGAAGAGTCTCAAACTGTGACAAAACAGCTGTCTGCTGGTACTCTAATTTGGTTTTCCAATGGTTCTCCAACTGATGTCAGCTCATGATGAAATCCTTCAACCAATCAAACAAAATCTCTACAAAACCAATACTTGAAAATAATGGGGATAAAATTGTGTATGAATTCCAACTTCTGCCAATTCGCGATATATATAGTGCAACCGCCAGCCATTGTCACAGGCAAGTATCTGATCTCTTACCTGACTTGATGGACCACGCTGGTTGTGACTTCTCACCAGAACTCCAGATAACTTCCTGTATAGCGTCAGTCACTACTGAGCATCAGATTAATTGTCAGGCGTTGGTTTGCAGGGGTCCACCAAGTTAAGCAAGAGATCCGTTACTCGCCTATGACGTTGGCTGGTGATGGCGCTACATAAATCGCGAATTGGCGGAAGCTGAAATTCTTGGGCTATTGGATCAGATCCTAGGGGCTGAATAGTCTACAAGCCCGCCTTGTAACAGGAAGATCCTGGATTTGAACCCCAGTGGGTGAGTATTGTTATGAGTTCCAAACTAGGACAAAACAGCTTTTCAATACTCCCAGGCTTTCCAATGGTTCTTTAACTATTGCCAACTCGTGATCGAACCTATAACGAATCAAATTTCTGCAAACTAACACTTGAAAATAGCGTATCTCATACAGATTTCATTGAATCACCTTCTGTTCCCACTGTCTTTTGTCCATTTTATACACACACTGATTAATATCAACTCCCCTTTATTAATCTCTGCTTATGCACTCCCTTCTACGTTGTTTCTCACATTATGTGAAACATTTTCTGGAAAATAATTATCAGTATTTGTTTGATTTTGATGAATTCTCTATTTACTATAAATAGGTTTGTGAAAATTTTAAAAATGCTTCATCGAAAAGGAAAAAATTTTCAGTTACTTCTTGTTTTCAAGGCTGAGAAGCAGATTTTTCATCTTCTCTATAGTATAACTGGCCAACTGCTTTCTGTTTCTATGGTAAAAAATTGTATCATGACGCTAAATTTGAATAAATTGATGCTCTGCACTTAAATTTTTGAAATTATTGTTTCTTCCTAAGCTAAGTGGTGTAGTTTTGAAGGATTCATCTTCCTTCAAAATGAATTTCGTATTGAAAATGTCGTCCTGAAGGACAATGAAAGCTTCACAGTTGAAACCCTCCAGCTCAGATAAAATGGCAACCTGAGCGACCAATTTTCCCCTGAATTTTGATCAATTAATTTCGGTAATAACCTCATCCTTCACTTATTATAAGTACAACAGGTGGACATAATTTTTCAATGAATCTTTTCTTAATTTTAAATTAGTTGTGTTCTCTGAGCTGGTTGATTTCATGGCGAAGCTTTCGTCCTCCTTCTAGACAACAGCTTCAGCTCAGGTTTCACTGCGTTCCATACCACAAATCTTCTCCAATAATTTAAGAATCTTTTCATAGCAAGTTATTATCCTTTGTTATTGTGTGGAGATAAAGAGGGTAGTGAAGGAATCTAGAACACGAGTTTCGTCCTAGTCAGCACTCATCAGAATTTCGGTTTAATACAATCAATCAACAAATTATAACTGATAATCTTTGCATTAAAAGTGTAGTGCATAACCAGTGGGTACCGAGTTCGAATCTCACCACTCACCAATTGAGGTATAGGTACATCTAGATGATGGGTGTCAAATAGGGAGGAAATGCACTTCCTGGACTTCATAGTTAGACACTATCAACTAAATCGCATCATTTTTATCTCAAATCATTGTCTTGGAATCTGTACTAAGAGCTGACATGTCAATAGAGATCGACCATTTACGTCTGCTTTAAACTGCCAGTTGGAAACAGAAAAAAAAATAGCTGGTTGAATGCAGTCAGTACAGTAAAATAATTTTTTCCTTTGTGTTAACTTAAAGTGTTTGCAGGTATTAATATATCACTTACTAACTGAGTTTCAACGTAGAACTTTACAGAGAAGTCCAGCAGATCAAGCTGCCACACTCCATGTAACACACAAAGGTAGAAAAAAGAGATTCAAGAGAACAGTAGATCACAAAGAGTGGATGCATCTGCACCACTAAGGGAACTTTCGAGCCATATAACCAATAGTCTCAAATCATCAGTTCTCAGCACCCAGAACGCCACAACCAGTCAGTCTACACCTCCCTACGTAGCTCTAGTCAATTGTCAAACACTTCATGGACTTCATGCAATTCTTCCCATTAATAAACTTGAACAAAGCAAGAACAACAATTGTACGAGAAGATAATATGAGCTCATCTTTCATTATATTTCGAAGATTCTTCTCAACTGGTTACAACCTGAACGATAAAAAATATGAATTACATTACATTAAAGATTTGAACATACTTTTCCACGATCACAAGCAGTAATTGGTAGGAAGTAAAGGTAACATTAGTCCGGAATGATTTAACTAATTAAGAGTTACAAACACTGACTATTTACAGAATAATAAGACAATTAGGCTTGGATAGCAATTGCTTCAGCAAAGCGTAGCAAGCTAGGTTTCTTTTGCTTAAACCAAATCTATGTACGCAGAAAGAGACAGTGGTGAATCTTGCACTGCCCTGGTGATAACAAAAATATACAATTTTATGAGTCACCTTTTTCTTGTTTAGAAAACTCTACTCTCTCATCTAAACATGACTCACCCTACCTTGTTCTTTTCTCTTTTTTTCTATTGGCTATTAGATAAAACACTTTCTTTAGTTACGTAATCTACTTTTATGTTATGCTCTTTCTAGCTAAACCTTGTTTCTATAAACACACATATAAACGCAACTCTGTTTTTTGTTTCCAAGCCTTATTGTCAAATTATTCCATAAATAGTCAGTGTTTGTAACTCTTAATCAGTTAAATCATTCCGGGCTAATGTTACTTTTACTTCCTACCAATTACTTACCCCTTGTGATCGCGGAAAAGTATGATGTTCAAATCTTTAATGTAATTCATGTATTTGTATCGTTCAGGTTGTAACCAGTTGAGAAGAATCCTCGAAATAATAAAAGATGAGCTCATATTATCCTGGTACAATTGTTGTTCTTGCTTTGCTCAACTTCATGGACTTATGCAAAATTTCGATGTGACCACCCCTAAGCTTTTTCCAACTTACTCCTGTTTCGGTTAACACTGTTTAACCGGAGAGGCAATGACTCCACGTGCTCAGTAAGTATCCTAGCCATCTCAATCGATGTAACTTCACAACTTTATCAACTGACTTACCTTCGTTATCTAACACTCCACACATAGCCTCAATATTATTGATCATATTAGACCATTTAACACCGTAAGTGGAACACAAACATCTATGGTCAAAGCCAGCTAGCCTTTCATATCTTCCACTTTAAATGACCATGTCTCACAGCTATGAAGTAGTTGATTTTGAACAAAGCAAGAACTACAGTTTTAGCAGAATAAAGTGGTACCATCTTTTATTTCGTTGCCTTCTCATCAACTGCTTACAGGCCAAAGACATTATTAAGTATATCTACAGAAACAATTTTAACATACTTGCACAGAGAGTTCATTTTAAACAAAAATCAATCGATCAATATATGCATACACTAATAATATATATACATATACATATATATAGCAATATTAAACACTATTCCGAACAATAATAATCATACACAATGAAAACTTTTCAGCATCTCGCATTCGGATGAAAAATATCTAGTTACCAGAGCAAAGAAAGACTGATAACCGCTTCTTTCTGGACGCATAAATCAGGTTTCAGGTGCTTGATGGAAATGGCTTCAGCAAACTTGAGGAGAATTGAGCTCTTTTGCCTATTGATAATTTTGAACGACTCATGATCCGTGTCAATGAAAGAGAGATGAAAAATATCCAGTTACCAGGGCTTTTTGGGACAACTGTATAAACAAATTTGCGTGTATCTGCGGGAGCAGTTACATTGGAAGGACAGGAAGAAAAGCATATCTACGATTTTCTGAACATGTACCAAAAAGCTTATGTCTAAAGGGAACAAATGCTTTAAACAGTGCCATCGCCAGGCATCTCCTCGACACGGGTCATGCATCAGGTGGACGTCGAAAAGTCGTTCAAAATTATCAATAAGCAAAAGAGCTCAATTCTCCTCAAGTTTGCTGAAGCCATTTCCATCAAGCGCCTGAAACCTGATTTGTGCGTTCAGAAAGAAGCGGTTATCAGTCTTTCTTTGCCCTACCGGTAACTGGATATTTTCATCTCTCTTTCATCTGAATGCGAAATGCTGAAAAGTTTCCATTGTGTATGATTATTATTGTTCGGAATAGTGTTTAATATTGCATATATATATGTATATATTATTAGTGTATGCATATAGTGATCGATTGATTTTGTTTAAAAATGAACTCTGTGCAAGTATGTTAAAATTGTTTTTATAGATATACTTAATAATGACTTTGCCCTGTAAGCAGCTGACGAGAAGGCAACGAAATAAACAAAGGATGGTACCACTTTATTCTGCTAAAACTGTAGTTCTTGCTTTGTTCAAATTCATTAAGGGGAATAAATGTATGAAGTAGTCGATTGGTGGATATCACTTCTACGCTAGAGATAATGTAAGTTAGCGTATGTCACAATCACTTAGTTCATTAGGTTGAATACAACTTCTCAGATGCCATGAAATGGTCAACACTAACTCTACCTGTCAGACAGTGAATAAAAGCAAATAAACAAATTTACTTGTATTTATATATATGTATGTATATAAGGTACAAGATTATTTACAAATCTATAAAGATCATTTACCCTCTTGAAAGCTTTATCAGACAACAAGCTTAATTGAAAAGTAGTCAATCAGAGACAGGTAGAAAACAAAACAAAAACATCAAGGAAGACAATATCAGTTACAGATAAACAGACGAACACTTGTCCAGGTTCCAATAAACCTTTTGTTGTTGTTGTTTCAACTAACCTTGATGCATCTTTTGTTTCATTTTCCCTTTTCTCTTATATATTTCATGACTGTTAGTGATTTACCATCTTCACTTTTGGGTATATTTCAGTGAATTGAAACATCCTTTTTTAATACATATATGTAGATATGCTTATGATTTGTAAATTATATCATAGGGATAGAATTCGTATACAGCATTACTTTTTATGTCGAAACGTACACCGGGTTTGTTATTGTTACTTGAATTCAGTCTACCAGTGGAATGTACTTCCTCAGGAGTCAATTTATTCTTTTGTACTGATGATTTTGGTCTTATCCAAACTCTGTTATTATTAGCTGTTGTACTACTCGTCTGGCTGGCATTATCTGTAGACAATACGGATTTCCATACATAATTACTAGCTGAAGATGGTCTTTTATTGATGAATTCATTCTGTACATTGTCATTGGACATATCTGATGTTATTGTTGCACTGATTATCTTTTCTGATGATATAATATTTGTATAGGGTTTTATTAGACTTTTAGAACGTTTAAGTATTGATTTTATAGGTTGAGTACTGCTCGTAGTAATAGTACTAGTGTGTGTAGTAGTAGTAGTAGCACTAGTACAATAAGACCATTTATCACCTATATATGATAGATTATGCTGAACGGATGAAGGTGATCCTGTAGATGATGATGATGATTGTAATTCAAAATTGTTTGAAGTAGATGACAGATTTCCAACTTCATTATTTGAAAGGAAATCACTGGATTGTTCACTATTATATTTTATTATTTTCACAAAGTTTTGTTTCACTAATTTGGTCAGTTTTTTCATTCATCGATGTGTTTAATTCATTTAAAGTTTCCTCTTCATCTGACTGGGTTACACTGACTTCCATCAAATGATGATGTGATGAATCTAGACATAAAAATTCATCCTTATCTGAAAATGACTGAAGTTGTGTAGTTTCTGTTGAAGTGTCACCTTTGCTTTCAGCATCTTTGCATGGAGTTACACTTTCTTCACTTATTCTCCATTCATCCCTCTGGGAGGAATTTGATATATCTGTGTGTAAAGGTGTAGGATAGCTTTGGTAGTCAGCATCTTTTATAGTTACCTGTATTTGTTCTTCAGATAACAGGGGTTGTGTTTCTGATTCAACCGAATGTTTCGTGGTTTGTTCATCTTCTTCTTCTGCTCCTTCCTTATTATTATTATTATTGTTATCATGATCGGATACATCGTAATCTATCTTATCAGTAGTCACTGTGATTTCAGATGTATCACCTTTTAGTCTAGTGTATTTTTCAGTCGTTTCACTGAGACAAGATTTCTTTGGACTGTTCAACTGTGTTATACTCCTGTCGTCAACTTTCAGGATCGTTTCAGTTTTCGGCTGAATAACTGTTGCATTTTTAACACTTTTATAGGATGTTGAGTGTACTTCTTTGTCGGGAGGATTTGTCTCGACAGTCTGTTTGACTACTTTCTTATCATACTGATATAATGGTGGAGTTCTGTCAGTATCCAACTGTACTGATGGTATTTTATTTTGTTGATGTTTATTTGATGCTACAACCGGTGTAGGTTTAATCGATCTTCGCTGAGATGTTGGATATTTGAAATATTTAACATTTTGAAAAGATAAAGGTATAACGGATAAAGACGATGATTGATTCGATTTTGTTATGGCGGCTTTTTTACGTTCTCTCTCGTTCTCTTGAACTGATGGTGCATGCTGATGCGCTGGTGATGGATAACTCAGTTTCCGTGTACTGTTTGGCGGTATAAATTCATTGCCAGTGCTTAATGTGGCAGTATGTTCTAAGTTTCCACCTGAAGTCTTATACACACGATTATATTCCTGTTGACCACTGCTTACCTTGAAGTTATTTATGAATTTATTTGTATATCTATAGGATTTATCATCTACACATGCTGATGATGCTCTTCGAAGTGGTTTGGGTAAAGTTTGTTGGGAAGTTTCAGACAGTGTTGTAGTACGAGCTTTGGGCGCTGATCGTCTTCTTGTAGATAAGCTATAATTATTATTATTATTATTGTTACTAATCGAGGACTTCCTATTTACACCTTCATAGACCAAAGGAGTTGTAGATCTTTCATGTAGTGGGCATATTTTACCACTACAATCAATAAAGTTTGGTTGTTTCACAGTTGATGTGTTTGTACTCTGTACTAAGGAGGAGATTGAACACTCTCTGGATAGATTGAGACATGTACTACTTGATCTTCTTGCAGATAAAGGAGGTACCATATTCATATATGATAATGTTCTATCTATTGATGCTGATGCTGATGATGGTGGTTCGTGTGATGTAGTTCTTTGCAAAGATGTTGATCGTCCAATTGTAGCTGCTGAATGTGGTCTTGTTAAATAGTAAACACGTAATGAACCAAGTGGACGATTTCTATTCCCATAAATCGATTGCAAATTATTCATTACTGGTCGAGAACAGATTTGATGAAATAGATTATTACAATAGAATTGTGGATTACATGGTTTCATACCTGAAGCTTCTTGAAATTCTATTGATTTCGGTTGAAAATTGATTGTATTTTGAAGTACATTTTTATTATGAATAGTATTCAATTGTGACGGGGTTACATGAGCATTTACAGGCGGCATTTGTGAATTATTATTCCATTGTTCATTTCGATTTAAACTTGAATGTTGACTTGTATAACGTATATCGGTTACAACTGGTTTTGTGTCATTTGTTTTAGTGATAACAGGATTTGGATGGTCTATAAATGATTTCCATAGTTTCTCATTCCACCATGTTACATTTTCCATTATTCAATATCATTTACTTCTTTTCATAATAATTCCCAAAAAGGTGTTCATAGAAAGCATAAAAGTATGCATAAAAGCTTGTTGGATACATTAGTGGTTTCAGTTGTTAAAATAAAAATTAAACATTTTTAGTTGTATTAGATTAACTCAAACAAAAGTAAGCAGGAGAGAAATAGAAAGAGAGAAAAAACTAAAGAGCTACCACCTAATGAGTGTCCTACAAATGACCTGAGTTTCAGTAATTTTATTTTTTTTCTATAAGTATATTGATTAGGTACTTACACCATTCATCTAGGTGATTATATGATTTAGTGCCAATAAGCAAGCAGGCAAGCAAGCAAATGAGCAGACGAGTGAGCACACTAAGTGATGAACAAATAAGAAAAATTATCTTATGACAAAATCAAACACTTATAATTTTCAAACTTTTAGTGGTTTAAACAACTAGTAGCTTCTTATATTTTGCAGTATAATTTCTACCATTAAATTATTGCCCGCATTAGGAATCACTAAAAAAAAGAACAACACACAAATAATATGCAAAGCAAGGAGGAGGGAGATTTTGTGCAAACGTATAATTATATATTTTGGTTATCAAATAAACGGACAAACGAAGTGTGTGTGTGTGCGTATATATGTTTGAGTACGTGAACGTAGAAGAACTAGCAGAGTAAGTAGTTAACGTGTCATGTGTTGTTTAGACTTAGAGTGTTTTTACTAAGTGGATTCTACTGCTCAAATTTGGATAAAAATCGCGAAGCTAATCGACTCGTCATCGCTGTGCTCTTTCTGAATTAATTTTAAATGATTGCAGGTAACCAAGTGGAAGCTCTGGACATAGGTTTGTTTCTGTGGCTGGCAATTGTCGGCAAAGCGTTTCTTTATGTAGTGAGTTGACGTCCACCTTAAAGTTCGAATCTCAATCAAACGGTTGTTGTGCACCTTGGATATTGAACCTTTGTTTTAGCGCATACATGTACTATGACGCTACGCCATCTCTTTTTCCTGCTTGACTGCTTGCGCGTGTCTCGTTCCCTCACTACGTTATCACTAAGCATACCCGTCGAGCTTGCTACCCCAGCCTGTCGACAGATAGCTTGTACGATATTATTACGTATTCGTTTTAGTTTTTCACTTGTTATATAAATATAATTCATGTCAGGGCACACGACAGTGCATAAGCATTTTATCTGGACTTCATTCATCAGTACATACACGGAAGGTAGTGTACGGATCAGAGTTAACCGAGGAAAGGAAGTTTGCTAAGTGCTGATGTTTAAGGCCTATCTGCAGGTCGGCTTGGGAGGTTACAGTTGCTGAGCCTGAAGCTAACTTCCCTACCTCACCTCAAGCCTCAAAGTTTTGCTTCATTTATTTTACTTCATTTGGTGTCTTGTTTTACTTTTTGCCCCACCCAACAGACACTACTGCTGTTTTGTTTGTATTCTTCTTTTATATTGTTTGTATATTTTACTTTGACTACAACTTATCTCCAAATGGCTGAAGAAAGTGTGTCAACGCAAATGGCACCTTCAGGGCAAATCAACAAGCTGCATGGTCCTCACATGTCGAAGCACTTTTCGCCCTTCTTCACTTGCATTGTTCCGTAGCATGCCATGGAATATGTATCCGATGTGCTGGAGGACACTTCACCAAATTTGTATAACTGTTTAAAAGCTACACTGATTAAGACAGTTGCGTTGACTTATCAGCTGAATGTGCAGGAATTGTTCTGAGATGTTCAGCTTAGAGAACGTACATGCTCACAAATGCTTTGTCAAATGAAGGAATTGGTAGCGGACTTTACAGCCGATGAAGCGTTCATGAAACAGGTATGAATTCAATCCCGACCTCAGACTGTGCAAGGTATCCTTGCACTGTTTTATAAATCGTCGATTACCGAACTTACAGAAGCAGCTGATAGAACCGTAGAGGCCACAAAACCGTCCACCTGTATCTCTGCAGCCTTGGCTGTACAAGCCCCGGTTCTAGACGATCATTCTAAAATTGATACGTCCTGTTTATTTTTTTCTTCTATGTGCAAGTATTCCAGATGATTCTCTTCATAATACTTAACATAATTTTATGTCTTCTTTCTTTTTTCCTTCACGTTCCCCACTGGAACATAGGGCTTCAAGCTGATGGCTTGAAGTTTCTGTAGCAGTGTTTATTTTACGGGATGGGGTTGCTAGCCTCATGCTCAACCTTTCCTCTTCATCAGCATTACTTCTGACTTAGCGAGGTAAAGGAGTGCGTCGGCCGGGGATTAAACCCTGGACCATGTGCATGGTTGGCGAGCGTCCTAACCGCTATGTCACCGACGCGTACGTCCTGTCTATATATTCAAGAAATCTGCAGTCTTCGGCAGGAACTCCGAGATAGGGAAGCTTCGCGAAATCACACATTCCGCCCTTTAAGCAGATATGGTTTGCGTCGACGAGGACGACGGTCGACATCAGAAGGCTCCCAATCAAGAGTTTGTTGGTATCATGGACTTTATGGTGCCAACGCACGCAAGTGTACATCCTCCTGTACACTTAGCGACAAAGAGTTGGCAAACTAGTAAGTCAGCACTTGATGGCGACTAACGTCGCTGGCGAACCAAATCCATTTCGCCTATGTTACCGACCGTAACACTGGGACACGTTTCCTGGTTGACACTGGGGCGGAGGCTAGCGTGATTCCACTCACAGCCAAAGTTCGCCTGCGGCCAACATCCTTACACCTTCGCACCGCAAATGGTTCACCTATGACTACGTGTGTTAGAAGGTTCCTGGACCTTAACATCGGCTTACGTCGCTCATTTCGCTAGGTTTTCATTGTTGCAGAGGTGACCACCGGTATCATTGGTATCGATCTTTTGCAGCACTATCAGTAACTAGTAGATGCTGGCAAACACAAGGTAATCGATCCATCCACAAAGCTCTCGGTCTCCAATATTGTTACACATAGCCCCTCTCTAAGCCCAGTATACTTGACACCTGCCGATGCTGGCCCATACTCTGACGTCGTTCAGTTTTTTTCTGATTTTTTCAAACACGGTAGCGAAATCACATACGTGACTTCATATGTCACTCATCACATCATGATGACCGGCCCATCCGTTTTTTCAAAACTACAGTGGCTATCCACAGAAAAATTCCCAGCCGTTAGGACTGCGTTTGAACTCCGCTTGGCTTCCTCGAATTCCTTCGAATGCCTTTCGGTCTTCGCAGTGCCACGCAGACGTTCCAACGTTTCGTCCACGACATTTCTCGTGGGTTGGATTGCGCTTATGTCTACCTGGATGATATCCTCATGGCTAGTCCAGATGAAGATACTCACTGTATCCATTTACGGGAGGTTTTCAAGAGACTTACAACGTACTGTCTGACACTCAATATAGATAAATGTCAGATTGGTGCATCTTCACTTTCCTAGGGTACGTGGTGGATAAAGATGGAATAAACCTGTTGCCCGAAAGAGTGCAGGCCATTCAAAACTTCCTTGAACCGTCATCCAAAAGTCTTTGCTCACATTTCTCGGACAGCGAGTTATTATCGTCGTTTTATTTCCTAGTGTGCTTATATTTTGACTCCGATGACTCATCTCCTAAAAGAGAACTGTAAGTCTCTAGAGTTCACTCCAGAAGCCCTAGACTCGTTTAAGACTAATAAGATGGCCATTTCAGATGCCATGTTGTTAGTGCACCTGGGCATCGAGCCTCTGATGAGCATCTCTTTTGAGGCATCAAACACAGCCACTGGAGCTGTACTACAATAACAGGTGCGTGCCTCATGGATATCTTATGCATTCTTCTCTCGAAAGTTGTTTGCAAATGAAGCGAAGTATAGCGCTTTTGTAAGAGGAATTCTCGCCATTTTTGCCGCTATCAAATATTTTCCACACTTTGTTGAAGGTCAGTAATTTACGGTATTAAGTGGCCACAAATCTCTAAAGTATTCCATTCGCACTAATACAGACTGGTACTCTCCACGTGAATCGCGCCACTTAGACAATATTTCACAGTCGGCAGCCGACATTCTATACGTTTCTGGGGCTGACAACCTTGTGGCAGACGCTTTGTCTCAAATATGCACCATGTCAGTGTCTCCAACCACTCACTGACCATAACAGAGAGGCTGAACTTCAGCTAATGGATGTAGACTTAGAAAAGCTTTCGCGAGAGACCTTTATGAGGATAGAACGCGTCCATCTTTTGAATAATGAAGCAACCATACTGTGTGATATGTCTACAAGCACATTTCGGCTTATTGTTGCCCTGTCCCTAGGACGCACTATATTTGACTATCCCCGTAACCTTTCACATCTGGAAATACACTAGATATTTAAGACATGGTATATACCGTGATAAGCGAAGTTGGACGCGTGCCTGTGTGATATGTTAACGCGCTGAAGTTCGCAAACATAATATCACTCCGATCGGGTTATCCGCAAGACCTGGCGCCCTTTTGGCCATGTCTATCTGGATATCGTCGGTCTATTACCTCCTTCTGATGGCCACGCGTAGTTGCTCATCTGCGTTAAAAGCTGTTCCCATTGCAGATATAACTGCTGAGACTACCTGTCGTGTGTTCGTGAAAAGATGGGTAACACATTTTGGACGCCCGGCTACGGTGACCACTGACCGTGGGCAGCGATTCAAGCCAAAAACTTTTAGGAGGCCGTTAGGTCTGTTGGGATGCAAATGCATCATAACAACAGCATGTCCCCCATCTGGAAATAGACTATTAGAGCGCTTTCACTGCAAACTGGAAGCCGCAATAATGGTCGTCGATAGCACCAAGTGGACAGAGTCCCTTCCCCTGGTCCTTCTTAGCATCCGTTCAACCCTGAAAGTTGATGTTCAGTGTACTACTGATGAGTTGGTGTATGGAACCACACTCGGTTTGCCCGACAAGATTATTTCGCCAGACAGTGCTGAGTCAAATGCTGCTGATGTCCGCTGTTACGCCAAGCATCTAAAACGCAATATGGAACGACTCCAACCAACTCCCACACACACTCAGTACAAGTGCAAGCAGACGCTGGACTCGAGGACTGCACCCATGTTTTCGCGCACCATTACCCCATAAGTAAATACTTACAACCCTCTTACGATAGACTTTTCAAGGTTATTGGTAGGAAATAAAATTTCTTCGTTATCGATCGATTTGGCCGTCAG